CTTCTGAGAAAGATTTCCACTAGATTTTCGAGCATGGCTGTGGGGATTTGTGCTCATTCATCTTCAAGAACATTAGTGACGGATGTCTGGTAAGGAGGCCTGGTGTGTGATCTGCATTCCAGTTCATCCCGAAGGTGTTCAGTAGGGTTGAGGTCAGGGATCTGTACAGGCCACTCAAGTTCTTTAACAACAACCTTGGCAGACCATGTCTTCATGAACCTCGCTTTGTGCACAGGGGCACTGTCATGCTGGAATAGGTTCGAGCTCTTTAGTTCCAGTGAAGAGAGATTGTAATGCTACAGCATACAAAGACATTCTATACAATTGTGTGCTTCTAACTTTGTGGCAACAATTTAGGGAAGAACCACATATGAGTGTGATGGTCAGGTGTCCACACACTTTTGGCCATATAGTGTATTTGAACTTGCTAGACACTATGCAACTGTGCTACAGAGATCCCCAGGGGTGTGTTTTGATCACATCCTCTTCTTTCTGATCTCCTGTACCATGTTCCTTGTGAGAGACACCACAGTACAAGAAATGACCAAAATATCTGTGGGTTTTTTGAAAGCTACTGAGCTTAATGAAGCACTGGAGATGTACAAAAAGGGGCATATCAGCGTATTACACTAGCTGCAAATGATCATGTCAGAGAGAGGCTCTTGTAGCTAAAAATTAACCGTAGAAGCAAGAAAGAGGAAAGATAAGCTGGAGCATCAGAAGGACAGAGGCTTCTGAGGAGAATGTCTGTTGATTTGGTTGTAACAGTTTGCTTTAACATGTGTAGAATATTTAGCACGTAGGTCTATTGGTCATAAGAATAAGATTACATTATACTCTTTATACCACAGTGTTTCTGAATTCTTGAATCTGATTGGTCAGAAGTTGTTGATTAATTTTCTATAACAGCAGCTCTGAGAATAGTGCCAGCTGCAAGACAAATCCCAGGTTTATATTAATGCGCTTGTTCTAATATTATCATTTCTATACTGATAGCGAATTCACAGAGATCTGTATGATAGGGAAGCATAATTTAAAACTAACAATAAATGGATTGTTATTAGTTGTTATAACAACAACAACAAAAATGTTTAAATAATGCTCTGGTGAGGAGATTATTTAACGTTTATGAAAGAAGACTTCAGCACTTTTTGAAGTAACACAGTTCCTTTAAGTTTTTCGGCCCAGGGAATGTTTTCAGATTTTTTAAAACAATATTAGCTTCAAAAGAGCGAGAGAGAGAAAAACAGAAAGGATGTTATATTGACAGTGATAACAGAAACTAATTTCATGGATATTCTACAACATTAAATGTAAGTATAAACTTCCAAAAGTATGGCATGTCATTCTTTAATGAAAAAAAAAAACATTAATCATTGGTATAAGAGGAATAAAACACTTTGGGCAAATGACTCAACTTCAGTGTGGTAAAAGTATCTCTGCTTCATGTCGAGCCACATCACACCACTCCCTCATTGATTATTATCCTACAACAGCATGCCCTGAAGTGTTTTATTCCATATAAAATTACTGATTTATATAAAACCTGCAATCCAGTGTTATTATATACTCATTATTCCTATCGTGTTTAAAGATAACATGTTGCTAACTATCTTGTATTTTCTGATTGGTTTTTCTTTTCCTTTCTTTTTTCTCTTCACACATTATTTGTTTGGGTCCTGTGTTTTGTAGAATTTTTTTAAATTAACAACAACAACAACAACAAAAACAAAAACAGATCACAGGCACAGGCACACACACACACACACACACACACACACACACCACATTAAATCTGCCTTTATGCACCACGGAACCCAAAATGATCTTGCATCATGTCTTAATGTTTTTCAAGAAGATACTTTTTTTGCACAAGGTTCAAAAGATGCTCATTCTGCAGTACATGCTTTTATTCACAGATATTAGAAGGGATTAAAAGGAAGTATCTGTTATTGCTCAGTTCTCATGCACTAACCTGTAAAGATGTTGAATATTTTTTTTAAACGTTGTGCTTAAATCTGGTCCCAGCTGATTGAGCTGATTTGCAGAAACCAAGTGATCAGTGCTGCTTCATGAGGTAAACATTAGACAAAGGGATGGGGATAGCAATTATACATTTTTTATGACTTTATTTGTAAGAAAATCAACAAATTCGACACTGCCTGCTACATTTCCCATCCATTTTACATGAGACTGGGTTGGAAAGATGGAAGACAAGACATTCCATATAAGCCACACTGAGACAGCTCATAAACCAGTAAAGAGGAAATTAATGTCTTTTAACATTTTTATCATCAAGGCTAATGTTTAATTCATACTGAAAGCAACTCAGGGCAAGTACACATCCAGATAATATCTGCTCAGGCAAACACAGTTACCCTACAGCTCTGTTCTGCTTTCAAATGACTCCCAAGCTCCTTGACCTGAAGGTAGAGCAGATTGGATGGAGTTAGATCCTGTTTTTGCCAAAGCACAGCTGTGTATCCTCACTTTCAGACTGAACTTGGTTTCTCTGTTGCCTAATTTGCAGTTATCTTACTTTGGCTTATCTTCCAAGGTGAATCAATCTGTCTTCTTTGCTACTCTAAAGTGCAGCTGAGAAAAGTTTTACTTTTTTGTTACAAGAACTTTTTAAAATGTGTTATTGCTGCCTATAAACTCCACAGAAGTCTACTGAAATCACAACAATCACACTTTCTATACACTGTACATTTTACTTAAAATCATAATCTTCAAAGATGCCATGATTGTGCAACCTATTTTGGGAGAGCGTGAATAACCAGAAAAAATATGCATATATTTTTGCATATATTGCATGCATATATTTTTTCTTCCTGTTTCTTCCATGTCTTTTCCAACCTCCAAGTAGGCCTAGAGTTGAGCAGCTGTGTGTGGAGTAAAAATTCCTGCCAGGAAAAAATGTAAACAGAAGCTTGAAATGATAACTGGAACCACATTCACTGCACTGCAATATGGCACGTGACAGTTTTCATAATTTCTTTGAAATTCTATGACTATTACAGGTCTACAATCTCCCGTAAACATTACAAACTACTACTTTTTTTGCATTGTTCATGTTGTGTGACAGGGTGGCTTAAGAGAGATAGTATGCGATCCCTCCCACCCAGAGAGCAACTTTGCTCTGAGTCCCGTCCTGGAATGGGTGTGACATTGGCGGAAATTCGGAAGTTTGAATCCTGACAATGCTAACACTTTTCTGTAGCGCCACTCACCAGGGTGCAAACTGCAGCTGTAAACAACATTTTGAAATAAAAAATAATAATAAATAATAGTTGTGTACTTCCATTTCTGTAGGCTATGTAAAAACGTTTTTGACATTTCCATTAACAAAACATTAATAGACATCATTATTCTCTTCCTCTCTCTCTGCAGGTTGGGAGGGGAGGATAAGCAGTTAGAGAAAGTGTTAGCTAAGGCAGGTTGCGAGGTTCACTGTTTTGACCCCAGCATCAGAGAGGCTCACCTGCAGGATGCACACATGTGGCTTCACAGGCTCTCCATCGATTGGAGGGACCCGAACCCTGCTATCATGACTCAGAGACAGCACAGCAGCACCAAGAAGCTTTCCACTGTCCTCAACCACTATGGACATAGACAGGTAATGCAGAATGCTGTTACATGTGCAGAACACAGGGGGGACAATATATACTGCATGGGTATGACAGTATATCATGATAAATTCATTTAAGATAGATATCCTGGCTCATCCATTCATTTCAGACCTCATTCATCACTGTATACATTTGAAATTCCATTAATATACTAATGACTTCTTTTGAGTGACCAACAATTTAAAAAAATGTTGCTATTTGACAAATATATGCAGATGTTCTATTAATTTGCTCATCTTTGTGCAGTCGTGGGGCAGCATGCTCACTGCGCCATTTAGCGTCATAAAGTTATTACTGCACCTAGTGGACAAAATGAGAACTGCAACAAGTGCCTATTGGGGCAGGAATCATGCTGCCCCGTACTCTCTCTATGAACATTTTCAGTGTAGGAGGAGCAGTGAACAGGACAGTTAATGACAGTGTGGCAAGGCTAGTCAAAATCTTGTTTTATAGCAAATAGTCAGAATGAAATCTAATAACTTTTCATAAATAAAGGCAACGTGTATGTGCAGACTATCTCTAGATTGTCTATGATGTACAGAATAATTTCTACTGTGATATATATTGCAAAGATTGGGAGAGGGAAATGAGGATTACAGAATGGACAATATCTATACATCAGAAATGCGTGTGCACCACGGCGACCTTGTTTCATATGCAAAGTCTGAGAACATGAAGCAAAATGTGTCTGTCTGATCCATTGACTGAATATTTTTTGGGCTAGTTTCAGGTCTTTTGTGTGCTTTTGGAGAAGTAGTTGGACTGGAAATTGCTAAAACCTAGCAAACCCGGTTAATGGTGACAGGAACACACCTGACCACAATTGAACAAATGTATGTCCAAAAACCACTCAAAAAGCCTATTACGGGGTTATTCTAAAAAAATCTCTAGAAAGTAACCTGTAGCATAAGTCAGATTTGTTTGAGGATATGCCATTATTAATGTTGACCGAATTTTATAACATTATGATCTACACTTATATAAAGTGAGCTGAAAGCAAAGCAGATGAGTGCTTGGCCAGTTTATCCTTGGCTTCTTTTATTAATGTCATTATTTTATTCATTCAGCAAATCAAAATAGCAAATTAAAAGCATGATTAAATAGCTTATATTCCATATACACATCACAATTTCATGACCTTGATTTAGTGGCTACATTACAGTCAGTGTACAATAAATAACTAAGTAAATATAAAATGTTATATGTTGTGGGGTCGCCAAAGCGGATAATTGGTCTGCATATTTGATTTGGCATAGTTTTTATGCCGGATGCCATTCCTGACACAACCCTCCCCAATTTCCTTTTATCCGGGCTTGGGACCGGCACTGGGAGTGCATTGTCTTGTGTGACGCCAGTGGCTGGGGTCAGTTCTCTGGCCGGGAATCGAACCCAAGCCGCGGCGGTGAGAGCGCCGTGGCCTAACCACTAGTCCTTCAGGGACCCTAAATATGGAATGTTATATATTAACATAAATATATACAGTACTGTGTAAAAGTCTTGCGCCTACATAAAAAAACTGCAGCAGTAAACTAAAACCAAAGAAAGTCAATATTTGGTGTACAATAAAATAAAATGTACAATATGTCACTACTTTAATAAATAAACAGTAATAAACAGTAATCTTTGGCAAATTGCTGTGGTATAAGAGAAACAAAAAACACTTCAGGAATTGCTGTTAAAGGAAAATAATCATTTTCAAGTCAGTAATGGTAACTCCACCATCCCATCGTTGATTATTTTCTTATAAGAGCATGTCCCATGGTGTTTTATTCCTTATTGTCAAGCAGAGAATAACACAATCATATAGAGATATGTGAGTCGAAGTTGACTGATAACAGACAACAATTAATACTGCTCTTTTTTAATGTATTGTAATGTGTTCATCAAATGAGTCATTTCTAAATTAAATATGAAATATGGATGAAATACGATATATTAAATGTACTCTTATATAGTATATAACAATGCACTCTTCCTGTAACCATGTTTGAACCAGAGAATAGCATATAACAGCTCAAACTATACTTCAGTGTTTGATGATGTGAGTGCCGTCTTTACTTTGTGTTATCAAATGTCTGAGACCTCAGGCCTGAAATATAACAGTCATCAATCCATAACTTTCACAAACCGTTTCTGACAGAAAGAAAGATTTCACGCCCCCTTTTATCAAAATGATAACTGCTACAGTGATTTATGCACCGTATCTTAAGATGCCAGTTTTTTTGGACGCTTTCATATATCACTCAACCTCCTCCCTCTGCTCCTGTTTCTCGCTGCATGAGCAGGAGTGTAATCCCGGCAAATTAAATTCAATGCCTTGAACAGAAGAGCCTACAGGCCATGCATCAGTGTGTGGCATTACCAAATCAATGCCTCATAAGCTGGGATGATTGATTTGTCTTTCTTAGGCTGGTGGAAGAAGTATGAGATTAATGCATGCAGATTAATGCTGGGAAGGTAGCTACTCAAGTGTTTTCCAACTGTTAGTTAAATTTTGTACAATATCTAGTCTAGAAACAGTGCTGAGATCAACAAAAAAGAAATTATGGTATTATTTTTTTTGGATGAAAGAAAATTTTTTAGAGGTTGTTCAGAATGTCAAGGTCAGTGATCTTAGAAAAACAAGTGAGGAAAAGTTCCCAAGTCTGATAAAAGTCTTGTGTGTTAGAACTGAGTGAGTGTCTAATTTTCTCCAAATAGAGAAAACAGACCACATCAGCTAGCCAGTAATGATAACATGAAGGAGTAGCATGTTTCCACTTAAGTAAAATAAGGCGCCTGGCTAAGAGGATGCAGAAAGCCATAACATTTGATTGTGAAGCAGAGAAAGCTTCAGAAAGCTATAACATTTGATTATGAAAAAATGATAGGACCTTTTGGAACGGGTTTTGTTAAAAATGCTAGAAAAGCACTTAAATATTGATTGCCAAAAAAAATAAATAAATAATGTGGTAGAAGGGCAATCCCAAAACATGTGACACAGGTTAGCACTTTAGGCAATGATGTGAAAATAAATGTAGCAGGATTTCAGTTGACTGACCTTTGGAGTCGACTGAAATCCTGCTACATTTATTTTCACATCAACAGTTTCATCAGCACTTTCTGCACAGACAGAGTTTGTTTGTTACCACACAACCGTGGCCAATGCATATTTCATCATCAGCATCATACAAACGTGTGCTGGTGTTGACTCAGTTGGTTGATGGCATAGTCAGATGGCACACATGCACAGTTGCATAAGACCTATCAGTTTCATCTAATGCTCTCAAAATGGGTCAAGTTTCTGTTATAAAATGCTTAGCTGTTGATTTTAGTCCCATTGGCCACAACACTGAATATTCAAATAATGAGTCTAATACTTGAAACGCCCAACTGTTCAAAATGTTTAAGCAGCAGTTCAAATGTGGTCCAATTCTGTGGGAAAAGCTGAGATCTGGCAACTCTGTACTGAGCATAAAATCACAGATATGGACGTTTGGCTCAACAGGTGAGGTTAGAGCTCTGGGAACTCCCAGAAAAAAAATGCTACATTTTCAATAATGTAATCTGATGAATCAAAATTGAATGAAAAGAGCCTGATATTATCTGTCTTATTATCTGTCCACCTCTGTCAGATTTTATCCAACCTCTGTTTAATCTTCACATCATTTAGATTATGTCTTCCCTCTTTATCCTCTGCCCCTCAATACAAGTGTCAGTGTTTAGATCAACTTTTTTGTTAACTTTCGCTTTCCCTCCAGTTCAGGCCACCTACACTCTACATTCTACCCTTTCTTTATTCTCCTTCAGCGACTGACCTACTTTGCATTCTTTCCACTTATTGCCTCTTATTCCTAGCCAGCAATATTTCATTCAGCTCTAAGGACAGCAACCTTGCTGAACCAGATTTCTGACTTTTCTTTTTTCAGGAAAACTAGATTGAAACACAAGGAGGTGAACATGCACTTTGCCAAAGCTCTACTGAAATATGAAATCTCCCAGAGAGTCTTAGTGAAATGGATTGTAGTGGACATAGGAGACACATAAGAAACGTCTATCACTCAAACGTCACTCAAAATTTATTCAGAGAAAATCACAAGGATGATCACAAGTTTTAAGAGAACGTTTATGAATGTTTCTGATTTGTTTGTATTTATTTTTCCACACAATAATATAATATAATATAATATAATATAATATAATATAATATAATATATTGATAAAATTAGGATCTCAGCGATTGGTTCTTGGTGCCAGAAAGGCTGGTTTGAACATTTCAAAAAAACTCCTGAACTGTCCAAGAGGGCTATGTTAACTCAAATAATCACTCTTTACCACCGGGATAAGCAGAAAAGCATCTCAGAATGCATAACACTTGACGCCTACCGAAACTAAGATGGTAAAAACGTCGCCTAGTCTTTATTCAATCTTCACCTGCCCATTTAGGTGAGCCTGCACCCAGCCACTGTAGCCTCAAATTCCTGTTCTTGGCTGACAGGAGTGAAACCTGATGTGGTGTTCTGCTGTTGTAGCTCATCCACCTCAAGGTTCGCTGTGCTGTATGTTCTGAAATGCTTTTCATCACGGTTGTAAAGAGTGGTTATTTGAATTACCATTGCCTTCCTTTCTGCCTGAAGAACTGCTGCTCACTGGATGTTTTTTTGTTTTTTGCACCATTTTGTGTAAACTCTAGAGTGTGAAAATCAGCAGTTCCTGAAATACTCAAACCAGCCCATCTAGCACCAACAACTAAGCCAAGGTCAAAGTCACTGATCACATTTTGCCTCATTCTGATGTTTGATGTGAACATTAACTGAAGCTCTTGATGTGTATGTGTATGATTTTCTGCATTGTGCTGCAGCCACATGTTGGCTGATTGGATAACTGCCTAAATGAGCAGGTATACAGGTGTTCCTACCCTGCTGTGTAGCTGTGATTATCTCTGTCTTTCCTAGAAATATCTTGCATCAACTCTATCACTATTGAATTTGTTGATTTATTTGTGAAGGACACACTGCACAGTTTATTACACACCATGTGTTGCCAGATGAATAAATGCAAATGTAACTACACAAAATGTAATTACTACCCAGATGGCAATTCTTCTTTTTTGCCATTGGATTGATGAATGCTTGGTTTTTTCTCTCTCTCTGTCTGTCTCTCACAGGTAGATGTGCTGAAAGTGGACATGGAGAGTGCCGAATGGAAAATCCTAGAGAATCTGATTCTGGAAAATGTTTTACACTCTGTGGGTCTCTTGCTCCTTGAGGTTCACCTGCACTGGGCCGGGTTCGAAGTGAGCGGCGACGAGCCCTCCGTAGTGCGCTACTGGTTCAGTCTGCTGAAGGAGCTGGAGAATACACACTTCCGCCTGTACCACAGTTACAGAGACCCAGCAAAGCCACGACTCTTCCTTCGGAAGAACATACACAATGCAAGCAGCACTTACATACTGGGGTGGGTCAACAGGTGCTACACGGCATGGTGAGACTCATCCGGTTTAAATTGTGAGAAATGGAGTACAGCAAGAACTCCTGATAGAAACTTCATTTTTGAGATAGTTTAAAGTGACTATATAGAGGAGCCAAGGCACTTCCCACTCAAATAATATTCCAGTTAGGTGAATTTTTTTTTGTTGCAGGCAGTAAGATGTTTGTTTTAATTCTGCAAATATCCCAACTGCAAGCTTGTGTACTGTCAGAAGAACATACACGAGCAGCAAGTAGGAAATAAACTGGAGTGGAGTTGATCAACACAAAGTACTTGATACAATAATTGCAAGAAATGGAGTTCAGAAAAAAAGAGCAGCAGCCATGCTGAAGCAAATTTAATTGAGAGACAACCAGAAAAACCTAAAACAGCAACAAAAGTGGATTTTGTTTGATTTGAATTACTGCTACATTCAAATAAAGCCATGTTCACCATTTTTACTAGAAAATTCCCACTCGTGTGTTTTCTAATGGAGTCTCTGTAATTTACCAACACATCTGAGGGAATCTGATACTCCTCATGGTTTTGACTCACTGCCAATGCTTTTACAAGCTTTTACGAGCTAGTTAGCTAAAACTTTAGCTAAAGTTTAGTAGTAGATGCTCAGAATGTGGCGCATCTACTACTTAATGTCTATTATGACTTGAACAGCAAGTGCAGTGTGTGTTTGCCTTTCTATGTTAAAAGTGGAAATTCACTCTTTCATTCAGAGGTTATCTGTAAGCACACAATGTGTTGTTAGGGCCTGCCCAAGACATTATGATTCAGTGTCTTGCATAAGTACTGAACTTTATGTAAGACACTATATTAGCATGCTGTGTGTAACTTTTCCACATTTTGTAGGATTACAACCTGGAACTGAAATGGAGTTTGTTTGTTTGTTTGTTTTTATGTGATTTTTACCATTTGATGTATGTAACATGTCTAACATTCAAAGGTGTGATCTGTGTTTTTTTTTTTTAACTGATATG